CTGCGTCAAGAAAAACATTAAATTTTGCTTAGCCATTTCCATAAATAAAAGTGAGCAAATGGAAGAACTTAAAGATTTAGATGCCAAGGTATTTTTAGTTGTTTGTTTTGTTTCCTTCAAAAAAGAAAATTTAGTTATCTAGACAATGAGTTTAGATGGCAGCCAATCTCTTCGTATTGACTATATGATGCTATAAAATACTTTCAAAATCTGTCAAGTGCTTGCAGGGAAGTAAAGGAGGTTATTTACAACTATCTTTTACCATTTCCTTTGTTATTTCACTATAGTTAGCCGTATCTTAAGAAACGTGATGAAATGGGATAAGAATGAGTTTAGGGTTCAAACACCAAACCTTGCATACTGTATTGGGCATACCATTAGCAATTTGTTTAACTGCTCAGTATCAGCCTGTATAGATTATCACTTTAAACTTGTGTATTTTGTGAAGATTTCATGAATTATGAAAGGAAGTGTGAAGGTATCTGACCCAAGTGCCACTCTGTTTTAATTCCTGTATTTTGTGCTGTTCACTTTCTCTGAGTTCAACCATGTTTTCTTAACCAAGAAGAATGCTTGCTGCCTTGAACAAAGACGTCACACTCTAAATAGGCTTTCTGACCCATACTCAAGACCTCTTCTCTCATCATCTTAATAATGATATGTCTGGCACTATTCTAGTTTTTTTGAAAAGATTATCTCAAGCCTTTACTAAAACCACTGTGATTATTATGTTTCTTTAAGGCAGATACAGAACTAAGGAGCTCAGACCCACATTGATTCTGAACTAGCACCACATTTGGGACCATTTAACCCCACACTATTGGATATGACCATGCAATACCTGAGATATACAATCTAAGTGTGATAATCACTTCAAGAAGCTCTGTAGATCTTCTATGTGAGGATATAATAAATCAATTTAGGACACACAATAATTTATGAAAGAGAGACAGAGAGAAAATTAAAAAAAAAAAAAAGAGAGAAAGGCTTAATATTAGAGAGCTTAGTTAGTACTTATATACTGCATTACACTAATCATGTCATAAGTCCCTAAGTGGCACAAAGTTTTGGACTTGATTGCCAACATAAGGAGCTCTGGTAGCACAGTGCCTAAGGCACTTGACTGCTCACCAGTAGGTTGGCGGTTCAAACCCACTAGCCACTCCTCGGAAGGAAGGTTGGGTAATCCTACTTCCATAGTGATACTGCCTCGGAAACCCAAGGAGGGGTCGCTATGAGTCGGGGCCGACTCGACGGCAAACAACAACAACAACAACAGCCAACATAAAGGTTGAGAGTTCCAACCCACCTATCAGTACTGCAGAAGGTAGGCCTGGAGAGCTGCTTCCATTAAGGTTACCACCAAGAAAACCCTATGGAGCAGGTCTACTCTGTAACACATGGGGTCACCATGCTTGGCATTCAACATGATGGCAACTAACAACAACAACAACCATGATATATTTCACCACACTGATGGAGCTGTCAAACTGTGTAGCATTATAATCTATTCTGAGTTAAAACGTTTAGGGGAAAATAGCAGATGTGACTGATTCTGAATTCATGAGGCTCTGCCATTTATTGAGCTGCTTCCAAGTTTAACTGATTTTTTTTTTTTTCCTGAAAAGTGCATTCCTTATTGGAAAAGCACCACTGCTGTAGTGAAGCAGAGCTATTCATTTGAGTTAGAGTGACCAGCACTCAGTGCCACTGGGGTGGGGGCGAGTGTGACTCAAGCGCACACTAAGCTCTTTCTTCCTCTCTGTACCATTCTTGACTCATGCACTCTCTGCCTGGAATGTATCTCTCACCTCTCCAGTCTATTAAATTTCTCTCTCTGAAAGGTCCACTTCAAACGCCAACTTTTCTTCAGGAAGATTTCTTTCCTTTTCAAAGCCATGACATTGAAGTTGTTTCTCTCATATAAGTCTTAATATAGTCTCTTTGTATTTTAATTATTTATTTGCATCTTTACAAAACCCAATTTTAAAACTGAATGAGGGCAAGGACTGTGTTTTCTTTATCTTTGCATCCATCATTGTGTGTGCTAACTTTTTATTTTGAGATCACTGTAGATTCACATACAGTTGTGAGAAATGGAGAAAATGCTACATGTCCTTGCCCCAGTTTTCCCCAACAGTAACAGTTGGCATGACTGTACTACAATATCACAACCAGGAAGTTAGCATTGACACAATCCACCAACTTTTTTCATTTCTACAGTTTCACATACTTTCAATGTATATGCATTTAGTTCTCTGTAATTCTATTACATGTGTAGATTTATCTGACCACCACCATCCCATTAAAACAGCACTTTTCTTTATCGGAGGACAATTTAAAAAAAAAAAAAAAAAATCTTAACCTTGAAGTTTAAACACAGGAGACTACAAACAGCCTTGTTACTTAGTGAGGAATAATTCTGAATAGGAAAATTCACTTGATTGTATTAATATATTTGTTTTCCTCAAAATCAATTTGAATGAGCTTTTTAGGAACATTTCAGTTCTAATGGAAGGGCCAGCAGTCAAGCCAAATGTGTATCTCATCCACAAAAGTTGGGCTGCAGGAGGCTATCCTTCAATTGGCCTTTACTTTTGCATCAAAATTTACATTAATAGAACTATAATTGTTTTTAATCTAACAACCCTCAAAATAAATTTTGGCACTCCTTTCAAAAAAAATTTATTTTATTTGCAAATCTGATCATCCTTACTAAATGTTGTTGTTGTTGTTATGTGCCATCGAGTCGGCCCTAACTCATAGTGACCCCTCCTTGGGTTTCCGAGGCAGTATCACTACGGAAGTAGGATTGCCCAATCTTCCTTCCGAGGAGTGGCTGGTGGGTTTGAACCGCTAGCCTTCTGGTTAGCAGTCAAGTGCTTTAGCCACCATGCTAAAATTGGAGATATCTTTTTTGAAATGTACAGACATCTTCCAGACCCATGTCCCTCAGAAAGCCACTCTCACACTCACAGATGTTTATAATAAATGCCGTCATTGTCCATTACCCACAAGATTATTGAATTGTAGCTTACTGACGTATGGGACATCCAAAAGAATTTGCTTTTAGAATGCAGAACTACCCTATTAAATCATCTAGGTCTTACTTCTTTCTAATATAAACTAGTAATAATCCTTTTCAGCCCAGGCTTAACTGGCTGAGGAGTAGGGAAAATGGTTAATAGATTGATAGATTCTTTGAATATTAAGTTGTTTTTTGGGGCAAAGCAGAAAGAAACTCAAGGTTATCTAAACTAAGTATGATCTCCCATGTGTAGAGCACTCTCAGGAATAATCAGCCAAGTATTTGGTAATATATTAATCATATTTTTATTTTTGTCAACTCATTAGTTCCTATAACTTAATCCTACTACTGCTTGTTCATCATCATCAGATTTGGCTAATTCTTTGCTAAAATGTCCTTCATTCCTCCTTATTTATAGCAGTTTTCAGTTATAAAAGCATATAATATGACACACCTTGCAAATTACTAATAGTGCTCACTTGCTTCTTAGGTAAGCAAAGTAAAGAGCATCCTAAATATCTTACCACTCTTGGGAGGAATAGCACAATAAATTGTTAAAAACTATTATCTTGGTGAGTCATTTTTTCAAGTGGTTTCCAACACGATTCCCTTATTGTTGGAAAGGCAAAATAGTGATGATGAAAGCCAGTGGCTTAGGTGCTAGGTCTATCATAAGTGAGTTATATCACCTTATCACCTTGTATATGAGTTGTACAACCTCAGTATCTTCAATTCTGACAAAGTAGCCGCAACAGTGAGCTCAACCATATCAAAGATCACGAGGATGGTCCAGGACCAGGCAACATTTTGTTCTATTACATATAAGTTCACCATTAGGCAGAACCTACTTATCAGCAACTAACAACAAGATCTAAGATCTAGAACCATTTGGAGGAAAACTTCCATCTAATAATAATAATAATAATAAAGGCGGTCCTAAGCTCTCAGCAGATTCTAGTCATTCTGTATGTATTATCTCCTTTAATCCTCACAATAACACATGAGGGATGTGCTACTCTGTTTTCCATTGTACAAATGAAATTGAAACATGGGGCAGTTGGTGCCTTCTTCCTTTGTCATTCACCAATAAATGCAGAACCAGGATTCAAACCCAGACATTCTGGCTTCAGTGGCTACAGACAAACTACAACACTGTTTTCTTCCCTGAGCAAGTTTATAAAGTAAGAATTAATTTTAGTTTCTGAGGCTTTCTTAACCTAAAATGAATGGGCACTTGAAGTAGAATATTGAAGGCAAAAATCATTTTCAGATGCACAGTCAAAACTTGTATGTAAGGGTTAAAATTCTCCTGTCTATTAATTGCTAATTACCTGTGCTTTCTAAGAAAGTAATAATAATAACTCTGATGGATTTTTCCCCAACTCAGAGGAGTGACTTTGCTATTTTAAGAACAATGTGGATACTGGGATTAGTCTCTCTGCATCTCAGAATGTCAACACATTTGCCAAGAATGAATTTATCAGCTAAATGTAGCCAAGAGATTTAGTTTATCTAGGTGTCTTACAAAGAAGAAATAGTTTACCACTGTTTTTGCAGATTGAGGTAAATCTGACATATTATTGACATATGCTATAGATTTAGTTTAATACCGTGGTACAGATGTGTGCTCTGATAAGGTTTTGTGAAATCTACGTTAAGATGAGTAGAGTTGTTTCAATATTTATGGGGTTGAAAATGCAGAGTTAGCAAAGGAAGCATTTTAATTAAAACAATATTTTCCCATATATGCTCAGAGAAAAATGGGGAATTCTACTGAAGCCTTGTTACTTATTTCCATCTATTTGCTGGGGTTTTAGGCACACTGAAGTTTTTTTTTTTTTTTTTTTTTTTTTAATCCTTTGTATTTAGCACCATCAAAACATAAAATCAATAGTTTTATTTTTTCTTTCTTTCCTTTTAGCTAAATTTATATGATTCTTCAAGTTTAGCCTTTCAAAATTTTATGTTTTAGGTATCCTGGAGATAACATCTGTGGAAATTGGAGTTGTTGCTGTCAAAGCCATTAACAGCAACTATTACTTAGCCATGAACAAGAAGGGGAAACTCTATGGCTCAGTAAGTATGCTGCTTTTGTTTTCAAAATACACTGCAGTAAATCATTACCACAGCTTTGGAATGTTTCCTCCAGACATTGAATAGCTTTGTTATCGTTCTATTGCTAGTAAATAGAGCCACAGTGAGCTGGTCACCAGAGTTTCAAGGGCTGGCAAAGCGGCTCTTCTAACTTTATAATCTCCTCTGTTGTTCACCCATTAGTCTACCACACAGGCTGTTGCTGGCATTCATCAGTGCATGTTCTGAACTTCTAACCAGTCTGACTCTCACGGAAGCATCTGGTCAGATTGGCAGGAGAGCTGCAGACAACTTAGGGAATTATTAAAAACAAAAATCTTGAATTTAGTTGAAAACCATATACTATATGCATGTTACAGCTGATGATAAAACAGGATCTTGCGTATTTTGTATTCTGTTCAAGTCTGAAATGGGTGAACAAAAGAATTTCATTGTTTTGTGTGCTGTTCAATTAACAGTAGAGTTTTATTTACCTAGTAATTAGCTGTTAATTCAAATTATACATGACTATCACCCATATGTGTAAAATATTCCTTGTAATAGGGTTCTTATGGAGCCTGGTATCCAACCAGTATACCCATCCTAGCTGTTCCGTAGCAGATGGTATTAAGTATTTTCAGTATCACCTCTGCAACTTTAGATCAAACTCCTATGGACCAATGTCCATAGACTGAGAACTCATTTAAAATAGCAAATATATATTTTCAGAAATAAAATTATAATTGTAATTACAGTTAAATTGTAACCAGAACAATTTATCATGTTTAGATTTTTTGATGAAATATGTCAATCAATCATAAGCAACATCTACTGCGTACCTGACAGTTTCTGACATATCAAAGAAGTAATAGGAAAGAAATGGGCCTTGGCTTCCTTTATAGTATATTTAGGAGAAAATTGATAAATGTGAAATAACTACAGAACATTAATTATTAAATGTAAAGAAGGAGCAGAAGTAGTATAGCAGCTCTGGATTAAAATTAGAAACTCAGCTTCAGTCTCTTCATGTTACGTGAACGATGATAGAGGTAGATCCTTTTATGAAGTTAATTCAGATGTATTTCACTGTACCAGTCCCAGAGCAAGATCAAGGTGATGCCAACCAAGTTTAAGGAATTTTTCTGGATCCCCATTCAGGAGAGTACACAGACTCCATGCATAAATAAACATGATTTTATAATTTTTTAACTAGACTTTTTGGAGGACATATAACAATATCTGTGGCTAAGAATTATCATCTATGAAGCAGTACTCTTAAATAATCCTGTTTTTCCCTCACCAGATCATGTAGCATTTTTACATTTTTCATGGAAGCAAAAAGGAATATCTCTTTTGAATGTGTAAATAATGTACTTTGTTGATTAGCATAAGGATGATTGCAGTGGCTGTCTGGAGCAGGGCTTCTCAAATTTGAGGATGTGTCAGAAATACCAGGAAGGCTTATTAAATCACAGACTTATGGGACCCACTCCCAGATTTCCTTATGCAGTAAATCTGGTAGAGTCTGAGAATTTGTATTTCTGACAATGTCCCAGGTGTTGCTGATACAGTGACCACAGTTTAAGAACCACTCACTGGTCTGACTGGTCTGGATATAGGAGCTCTGGTGGCATAGTGCCTAAGGCATTTGACTGCTAACCAGAAGTCTGGTGGTTCAAACCCACCAGAAGGAAGACTGGGCAGTCTACTTCCATAGAGATACTGCCTCAGAAACCCAAGGAGGGGTTGCTATGAGTCTAGTCAACTCGACTGCAGTGAATGAGTGGTCTGGATATAATGAGTACTGGTGACACAGTGGTTAAGCATTTGACTGCTACCCAAGAGGCTGGTGATTTGAACCCACCAGGTGCTCCATGGGAAGAAGGTGTAGCAGTCAGCTTCTATAAATATTTACAGCCTTGAAAACCTAACAGTACAGTTCCACTCTGTCCTATAGGGTCACTGTGAGTCAGAATCTCTATGGCAATGGGTTTATGTATTTGGGGGCTCTTTCATTGGGTCCATAAATATTTATTATGGTTATATCTTCATGTTCAATTGATCCTTTAATCATTATGTAATGTCCTTCTTTGTCTCGTATGGTGGTTTTTGTCTTAAAGTCAATTTGATCAG